CCCTTCCCCTCCCCCATTTCTGAAGAAGGGTCCAGACCCGAAACGTCAGCTTTCTCGCTCCTCTGATGCTGCCTGGCCTGCTGTGTTCATCCAGATCTACACCTTGTTATATCTTGACCTCAACCAGTTTCTGTGGCAGTGCAGCCCACAGGCTCACCACTCTCTGGGTGAAGAAATTTCTCCTTGTTTCAGTCCTAAAAGAATTACCCCTTATCCTTAAACTATGATCCCCATGGTCTGGAAGCACCCACTATTGGGAACATCTTTCCTGCATCTAACCTGGATAAACCTGTTAGAATTTTAGAGGTTTTGAGGAGATCCTCCCTCATTCTTCTAAACTCTGGTGAATATTATCCTAACCAACTCAATCTCCCCTCATACATCAATCCTGCCATCCTGGGAATCAGTTTGGTAAACTGTCACTGCACTCCATCTATAGCTAAAGCATCCTTTCTCAAATAAAGAGACCAAAACTGCCCACAACATTCTAAGTGTGGCCTCACCAATACCCTGTGTAATTGCAGCAAGACATCCTTGTTCCTGTACTCAAATCTTCTCGCTATGAAAGACAACACACAGTTTGCCTCCTTCACTGCTTGCCGCACATACATGCTTACTTTCAGCGTCTAGTGCATGAGGACACCTAAGTCTCATTGAACATTTCCCATCTTTCAATTTACTATCTTCAAATAATAATCAGCCCTCCTATTTTTGCCACCAAAGTGGATAACCTCACATTACACAGCATCCGCCATGCATTTGTCCCCCCACACACACAGCCTGTCCAAGTCACACTGAAGCACCTCTGCATCTTCCTCACAGCTCATCCTTCCACCCAGCTTTGTGTCATCTGCAAATTTTGAAATATTACATTACTCATCTAAATCATTAACACACATTGTGAATAGCTGGGGTCCTAGACCCAATCCCTGTGGTACCCCACTAGTCATTGCTTGCTATTCATGTATTCCTACTCTTTTTGCTTCCTGTCAGCTAACCAGTTTTCTATCCATCTCAATACACAACTCCCCAGTCCCTTACACTTTAATTTTACACATTAATCTCTTATGTGGAACTTTGTTGAAAGTCTTCTGAGAGTCCAAATAAACCACATCTACTGGCTCCCTTTGATTAACTCTACTAGTTATATCTTCGAAGAATTCCAGTAGTTTTGTCAGGCATATACATCTTTTGTAAATCCATGCTAACTGCACCTACCACTGTTTTCTAAGTGCTTTGATATAAAATCCTTGAGAACAGACTCTAACATCTTTTCCACTACCAGCATCAGATTCACTGGTCTATAATTCCTTGGTTCTTTCTCTTACTTCCCTTTTTAAATAGTGGGTTTACATTAAATTTACCCCCTGGCCTTGTTTCAATTCATTTCTATTTAAACCTGTGTTGTTAAAACACAGTCTTTAACTGTGACTCCTTTCCCAAAGTGTTTCCTTGGTAAATAAATGAATAAATGTGACAAGATCATCTCCGAGTTTCCAATCAAGGTATGAGGTGAAAATTAAGAGTGAGAAGGTAGTCAGGTTTTGGGTTTTCAAAGCAATGCAGGATATAGGAAAACTAACAAGTGGTAAATTGTTAAAATGACAGATACATTGGCATACTCATTACATGGGAGACTGAACTTCGATACTGAGTGATTGATGCACATTGTACTGCTTTCAATTCACCGCACTGGCACAAACAGAAACTAGAAATCTCCGCATGATAGAATATTGGAGGAATTGTCACCAATGAGCCTTGTAGCAGTTGGTTCAAGAATTCAGGTATTTCAAAAATGCGTGGGAGCTTTGTCAGGGAGGATAACAACTGGAAGAAGAGTTAAGTGGCAGGATTGTTACAAAAAAAATTTAATTACACTTGGAAACGATTATCTCTAAGGAATGAATTAAGATTAGTGCAGAAAATGCTGATTTGCATCCTTCAAAAATCAGGCCATGTAAAATTTATTTACCAGATATAAAGCTTAATTTAGATCAAAATTTAAAGTCTGGTGATTTAATAGATAAAAGAGTCTGTGGTGACAGTGATTGGAGGTATCAACAATCCAGAAACTTAAAGAGGGAAGAAAACTTTCTTATCTTTCACAGATCATTGTGCTATTGTTACCTTATTTAGTTTTAAATTGGGGTTGATTTGGAAAGATAAATACAGCAGCTTTATAAAGGAACAGTGCTGCCAGTTCTCGCTGAACCGAGATCAATGCACCTACATTTATCACTCTGTCAAAGTATCTCTGTCCCCTCAGACAATCTAAGTCTTGGTCATATATTTACAGTGGTCTCTCAGTACATTCACAGGATATGAAATGGTTGATTATTACCCTGCTTCCCTGAATTCCACTTTATTTGGATCCAGCTCCACGTACTTCTTCTCTTCAAATACCCGGCTGATGGTCGGTCCGAGAATATTGTGTAAATATTGCATCCCAGCTACCTGTACCGTTTAATAGACCAAAAAAAAGTGAACAACAGAAACTGCAACATTTCAGTAATAGTGATTATTTAGTTCCTCATTTTCCTGCACATCCTATTTTCCTGATTATAAAATGATACAATACTGGAGGCCATTTAACCCATCATGTTTGTGCCTGCTCTTCAATTCATCCCACACCCCTGCTCTTTCTGCAGTCCTTTCTCAGACAATTCCCATTTGAAAGTATGACACAATTGGATCTGCTTCTACAGTGCAGTGCATTCTGGATCATGCTGTGTGAAAAAAAAATTCTCCTCAACTTTCTCTTTTTTTTTGTCAATTGACATAAATGTGTATCCTCTGGTTTCTCCTGAGTTAACTTCATCAAAATCATTATTTTAAGCACCTCATTCGAGAATATCAATAGTGCGTGGGCCACTGGGTTCAAAACCATTTCCCTTTCTCAGAGTTGGCTCTGCTGCAGGTACCCTACAGCATATGAACTCCCACATAACCCCTCATCCATGACCTTCATGACCTGCATTTCCTGCTCCTTTTCCCAAACACCTCAAGTTTGGCACTTTCAACCTAGTATCACTGTTCCTCCATAGCCTACCCAATCTCAAAGGTTCTGTAGCATCAGCAATGCTGGGTATTCAGACATTCTCAAAATGCTGCCCCTCCATCCTGGTTAAAAATACTTCAGTACAAGATAATATGCAGCCTCAATTCTTCATTCCTGCCACTTGCGTTTCAGTCCAATCCAGTTCACAGAATCCCTACAGTGTGGAAGTAGGCCATTGACCCATCAAGTCCACATTGACCTTCCAAAGAGCATCCCCAGACCCATCCCTCTACCTTATACTTGTAACCCTGCATTTCCCATGGGTAATCCACCTAGCCCACACTCCCCTTGACACTATGGGCAATTTAACATGGCCAATTCTACCTGAGCTGCACATCTTTGGACAGTGGGAAGAAACAGTAGGAAACCAATGCAGACACAGGACAACATGCAAACTCCACACAGACAGTCGCCCGAAACTGGAATCGCACCCGGGTCCCTGGCACTGAGAGGCAGCAGTGCTAACCACTGAGCCCTGTTGATGAAATGGGAGCTACTTCTCTAAATATACAAGATCTCATGGCTTGATTCAAAAAGAACTGAGGAGATCTTCCAGTGTCCTGATCGATAATGATATTTCAAACCAATATTGCCAGAAACAAATCAGAGGGGATTTTAACTTCAGGCTGGTGGCTGTAAGGGTAAAAAGGTGCCCATTGCCCATTAGTTGTTGCTGTGAAGTTTGCCCCTCTTCATGCCCAGCCATCAGTTATAAGCTGCCAGTGAATTATGAATGTGCCCAGCAATCCTCCTAAATCCCCAACAGCATTGTTGTTGGCTCCTGAGACGAATGACAAACCGTGATAGGGGGGAGAAGTAGAAGATCACTCCTCATCAATACATGATCGAACACTGATCACTGTGTCTGACTATACCAGCAACATTGCATCCCGTTGTACCTGTTCCTGAATGTACCTGCATCTGCTGTGTCAGTCCCCAGTTGTACGTGCCCACCACCCCCAGCTACACCTGCTTATAGCTGCACCCACCTTTACCAGTCCCCATGTGTACCTGTCTCCAGTTGTGTCTGCGTCTGCTCTCCCTGTCCCCAGTTTTATGGCATCCCCATCTTTACCTGCACCTGCCTGTACATGCACCCATCTATACTTGTCCTCAGCCGTACTGTATCCAGCCATTTCTGTCCTCGACTGTACATATCCACAATACTGTCTGCAACCAGTTGTAACTGCACTTGGTTGTAATTGTACCTGGTCATACATGTCCTCAGCTGTATCTGTGTCTGGTTGTACCTGCACCTGGGCATACCTGTCCCTATTCGTATGTGTCTCCAGCTGTACCTAAACCCATTTGCATCTGTACCTGGTTGTGCCTGTTCCTACCTCTACACATGCTCTGATGTACACAGCTACTTATTTATAGTTGTGGAACTGTCTCATCAGCCTCTGCAGAATACCCTATAAACATTAACAGCTAGACCACTTCTCTAGAATTAAAGAAACGTTATCACTATCTGTTTCTTACCTTTAAAAAGCATTCCATGGATTTGGAAGCTAGCGAATTATTACGGAACAAAGTATTTGGTTCAGCTGAAAAACATGAATAGAAAAGTACCATTTCAAATTGACTGGCAAATTCTGCCCTTTTGCGACCTGTAATAAGATCCACAGCTGAACTTTGACACTCTTCCCAATGTGTTCAATCTGCTCAGTAGTTTTGAAAGCAGCGATATTTCTTATTCTGTATCATTGGATCTGGAAAGACTCAGCTGCATTCGCCTACACCACAACAACGACAATGCTTCAAATGTTCAGTGTATTTGAGGGCTGTGAGGGTGTGAGCAATGAACGGTCACTCGACTGACAACTGCTAACACTCACTATTAGTGAGATTGGAAGCAGCTTCAAGCATGGAGCTGTATTGACTCTGAACCTCGATCATCGTCACTCCTTGTTCTGGTCTGATTTTTCAATTGGAAATTTCAGTGGAAGAAATATTGATTTATGGTATGGGGTACAGCAAAAATATTGGGATATTCAATAAAAGCACCATTCTAATCTTGAAACACAATGATTGGTTATGAGGCATTTTACCAGCACACATACCTGATGTAAGTGGACATGCATTATTAATACATTTGTGTGCAGAATCTTTCAGAATTGAACCCATTACATGTCATTCTCTGGACAGGGTATCACAACCCTTTAAACATTTTGCTTTCTGTGTATACACTGAATGACTACATTTCTTACTTGTTCTGTCCAATTCCAAATTCATGATGAAGTCTAAGAACTCTTTGGCCAGCCCTTGTCCCAAGAAAAGTTTCACCAGATTGGTTGCGACCTCTTGCCTGTTTTCAGCGGTGGTGACCTCATCGATCAGGGCCAACAGATTCCCCTTTTCACCCTAGAGGTATAAAGATTATGATTATTACCTATCACATCCTGCAGGTTGAGTGCAGAGTTCCTACCGTTTGGTTAATGGACACAACTAATCATTCACAAACAAAGCAGAAATCACTGGAAAAAATCAGGTCTGACAGCATCTGTGGACAGAAAGCAGAGCTAACGTTTCGGGTCCGGTGAACCTTCCTCAGAACTGACTGTAGCTTGGAAAAGGCATTCTTAAGATTTGGAGGGGGGAGGGAGGAAGGAGTGAACGGTCAGTGGAGATAGACCCCAGTGATAGAGACAAAACAGTCGGACAGACCAACGAATAGTTACAGATCAGCCCTGGAGAATGAATAACTGTCAGTAGGGACCATTAGCAGCTAACAATGGGTTGTTTGTGGTAGTAACCCATGTATGGGGTTTGGGTTAAGGATATAAGCAGAAATGCTCAACCCCCTTCTCCATCAGGATTCCCGTTCTACTCTTTTTTCCTGTTCATCATTACTCTGTTGTTGGTGCTGGTGTTTGACAAGGTATTTGCTAAAACTTGCTTCCACAGCCACATCACACTGAGTGACTGCCTCCAGCTCAGACACATGGATTCCGACTGAACTTTCATCTTTCGTGTTTCAAATCCAGGTATCTCCGTGATGTATAAGTTGTTCTCACCACATCCTGAGATCCACACTCAGTGCCATGTGTCACCATATGCACACTCTCCACCTCTCTCCCATTCCTCTCTCCAACTATTCACATGTTCTGAATGGCTTAATGGTGGTGGTTCATAGATGAAAATATCCCATTTGATGATGTGAGAAAAATGGACAGTTTTGTGTAAGAGTCCTTCTGGATATATGGAAAAAGAAGTGGAAAGGGGTGACGCTGGGGCCAAGACATCCTGATGTGAAGGTACCGGGGTGAATTGTCAAACATTAATAATGCAGGGTAAGAAGTTGCTCTGCTCGATGTGTAAAATTTACCTCTTGGGGCAGTTCTTTTACATTATTTACTGGGATGGTGAGCATTGCTGCAAAGCCAGCACTGGCTGCTCATCCCCAGTTATCCTTGACAATGCTGCCTTATTGAACTTACAGTGACACCCACAATGCTGTCAGGAAGGGAGTTACAGGATTCTGACCCAGTGACACTGAAGGAATGGCAATATATTTCCGAGTCAGGATGGTGAGTGGTTTGGAGGGGAACTTGAAGGTGGTGGTGTTCCCATGTATCTGCTGCCCTTGTCCTTCCAGATGGCAGTGGGTTTGAAAGGAGCCTTAATGAGTTGCTGCACCAAGATGCATAATAAATGCCAGCCTTATGAGCAAAGCTCTCATCCTGAGAGTACATTATTTGGAGTTTAAAAGGTTCCCCATCATTGGTGCAAACAGGTAATATAGCTGAAACACATAATACTATTCTCATCACCTTGTTCATGAATACATTAGAGTTGTTGTGGAGAAAATACAGAAGGTTTCTGTTAATGCATTTACAACATCAAACACATTGTAATCAGAGAGACTCCTCTTGTCAAATTCCCCTTCCTCTGGCACCATTGACAAGTCCTCACCCTTAAAAAGAGAGCTAAAAGGTCTCAAAGTGTGTTGTCAGAAAACAGTAACACAACAAAATCAGCTGATACTGTTTCCTTGGAGTGAATATAGTCCCAGGTTCTTTGAAGCTTCCTGCAATCTTTGTTGATTTCCAAATTGGTTATTTGCTCCAATGAAGCAAAAGACATAAAGATAATGCTACCAACTGCCTTGATAAGGTCCTCGATTCATTTTAATTCTCTCATGGGATGTGGGCTTCACTGATAAAGCTGACACTTTTCTCATTGCCCTTGAGAAGATAATTGCAAATCCCTTCTTGAATCACTACACATCCACAGTGTCGATAATGGCCCACCCTTTGCGAGAGTATATTCTCTTCCATACAGCCAGCAGGTGCCTTCTGTCGTTGGGTGGCCTGACCTTGCAGGTTCATTGGAAACCTTAAGTCACTACCTATCAGCCCTGTTACTACAGTGGACTAGCAGTCAGGGAAGATCCAGTCTACTGCCTCCTCCTGGATTAAAAACATGATGTTAAAAAAGTTGTTTTATTTCAAAGACCAGACTAGTGCTATCCTTCAGGGGCTCAGCAGATGATGCAAACTTACACTCTAGTGTAAGGGAAATTGCACAACTGTGTATTTTACACACTGGCAACAGGCCCATGACCTGCTCCAGAAAAAAGTAGCTATGGAAACAGATGTAGGCATAATGGTTGCTCAGTGGTTAGCGCTGCTGCCTCACAGTGTAGGGACCTGGGTTCGATTCCAGCCTTGGGTGACTGTCTGTGTGGAGTTTGCACATTCTCCCCGTGTCTGCGTGGGTTTCCTCCTACAGTCCAAAGATGTGCAGGTTAGGTGGACTGGCCATGTTAAATTACTCACATTGTCTTGGGATGTGTAGGTTAAGTGGATTAGCCATGGGAAATATAGGGTAGGGGTGAGTCTGGGTGGGATGCCCTGTGAAGGGTCAGTGTGGAGTTGTTGGGCCAAATGGCCTGTTTCCACACTGTAGGGACTCTATGATATACTTTAGCTGCCTCATGTACACTAGGCACGGGAATGAAAATGAAAGATCTTACACAAAACATCCATTATTGTTTTTAGGTATCTTCTCTTCATTCTGATGTTAATTCTCCCTTTGTATGTCTTGTTTCTTTGATCTCATTCTTTTCTCAAACCATCCAAACCTCTGCAGCCGAGAGTGAGAGGTATAAGGTCTTGGAATGCTGCCAATGTGCCCTAGTCTTTCCCACTTATGCCCAATCAGATACACTGAAGTCCCGACTTGTTCTATTTGAAATTCCCTCTGGTGTCCCATCATTAATCATGTCACAATATCACTCTGTAGCAACGACAGCATTACTGCCTCAATCTTTAATCAAGGTCATTCCAGCACTGTTTCGAACTTAAGCCAACAATGGTTCTACAAATGAAACAATTTATGTCTGCTCAAATGAGTGAAAAGGACGCAATTCAATCTCCACATTGGAATGATATTCATAAAACACTCGAGCTTTGTTCTTCCAGTTTACGGTGTTGTCTGTATCCCTGGAATAAATTACAGCCTCATTGCTCACTCCTATTGCATTTCTAATTCTGTAGAAAAGCTTTGGACTCAGGCATCAACTTATCACTGAAGGCACCCCACAGAGACGCAAATTCTGCTCATCAATGAGAAAGGCACCAGCAACCAGCATGATTTAAACAAGTTTCCCATTTACACGGAATATATTACCATTTAGCAGGGAAGCAGCTTCCTTCAAAAATCTAATGGGAAATGAGGTAACAGCTCACTTACTCTAGTAACAGTCACTGGAGAACAGTTCAGAAGGAGTAAGACCACAGAGTGTCTCTTACATACAGAAGCTCAATGCTGGTACGCTGTTACCGCCTGTCATGAATTCTCAAAATATGGTGCATATGTTGGGCTAATATTGCTGCTAATTCCGTCTCACCATTGACCCACCAAAAGAAGAAATGCCACAATCAACTGTTGAAACAACAACTGAATATTTAGACCTATGTCTACATACACTTTCAGATTTCTGAGACAGTAATAAAGTTCCAGGCTAAAGATGTTCCCCAATCATGAAATGAAAGGATTGTTGTAGTAGACACAGCAGAGTTCTTAAAGCCTAACCATGAGAGGGAATTGAATTAATGCACATTGATAACGTAACAGGATTCATGAAGACCCCTTGTGTGGCCTCAGCACTGAAGGCAAACTCTTTCACTACCTGTTTGTTTCCCCATCTGCAACGGGCTTTAGTCTCCTAGCGCTGTGCAGGAAATTATTACTGCTCTGGGAAAAAGAAAGTTCATTTAAATATGGGTCTACATATTCAGCTACTGATTAACACCATCCAAAACCATTTTTATTTCTGCGAGGGACTGGTGTTGTACACAATTCATTTGACAGTACTTCTGAACCAGGTTCCACTCAGCGATTGCAGATCTGGGAGAATGGTAACAATGTTAGAGAAGCTCAATCTCAATGGAATGTTAACCCAAGGCCCTCACATGAAACATCAGGTGTTTGGCTTATTCTGTATCAAGGCATTTCTTCTTTCCTTTAGTTACAGAACACAGGGGTTTAAAAATCAAGTGTCCTCATGGAAAGGGACCAGCTTATTCTCATACATTGCCAGATGCTGTTGTTGATGTCAAAGAGACTAGTCACGCCAATGAAATGCAAGAATCCTCTGAAAAAAAAAGGCTGGTGGCTTTGTACTGAAATTGGCCTTGTCCTGACAACCTGTTCTGAGTTGGTATTAAACACCTCTGAAAGGAGTGGACTTGAACCTGGGCCTCTTGGTCAAGAGGTAGGGACATTACCACTGTGCCACAGGAGGACTTTGTCACTTGGCTCATTAACTGTGTGTAAATCAGCTTTCTTATTTACTTAAAGAAGTGTGATTCATTGGCTTTGAAGTATTTTGGGACCTCCTGCAGCCATGAACAAATGTTTTGGAAATATTTGCTCTTTTTCATTTTAAAATAGTGATACAAAGCTGGAGGTTAAGTCAGGTGGAGGGAGATGTTTGCTGAGTAAGGTTTAAGTGATGTCCTTCACCCAAGACAAAATTCAATTCTGCCTATCAACAGATCACGAGTTGCACTGCTTGTTGATGCTACAACAGATAGTTCAAAGGTCTATACCATGACTAATTTACAGAATGTGGAGGTAGACTGTGACTGGTCATTCTCTCTGTAGTATTTATCTTCTTATACCAGTCACTGTGTGGCCATCACCAGGGACATTCATTTACTCTGCCACTTGTTAATACTTCCAAATAAAACTATTGACACAATAATCACAAGGTGCAAATTCTACTCTTCGATCTGAACTGAAAGAGATGAAGTGATTAGGTATTTAATTATTGATCCAAGCTTCAAGGTAAATGGTAAGATCCATGGGAAGACTACCACCTTCAACTTCCACTCCAAGTCACTCACCATCCTGAGTTGGAAATATATCACCGTTCCTTCACTGTCACTGGGTCAAAATCCTGAAATTCCCTCCCTAAGGACATTTTGGGTCAACCCACAGCAGGAGGACTGCAGCGATTCAAGAAAGCAGCTCAACACCACCTTCTCAAGGGCAACTAGGGATGGGCAAGAAATATTGGCCCAGCCAGAGATGCCCACATCCCCTAAATGAATTTACAAAAAGTAGGTCTATTAACCACCGCTGGTTCTGAAATGTTTCTAATTCATGGAGCCTTTTTCAAAAGGATTAGCGATCATGGACCCAACCATCTGAATTTTAATACTCACTTCAACATCAGCAATGATAAATTCTGGAATAATATGGTATAAAATAAGGTTTATTTTCCCACCAAAATTTCTAGCATTCTATGATCCCCTGACTCCTTTTCAAACTAGAGAAGGAGGCACTTACTATCATCGATCAACTTTGTGGCATCCAATCTCTGGCCACCTTTATGCTGCTGTCGGCATCATTCACTGTGCACTCCCCTCCTGGAGGAGACCATCAGCTCACCTGTACTTGGCATGTGGACATCACACTCCCCTACCAAGCTCACTCACACCAAGCCTGTCTCCAGTCACTACTCACTGTTTACTCTTGTCTTGACCTTGACATCACTATCACCTACTTCCATTACTCCAGCACTGTCCCCCCAACCCCAGAAATAGTTCTAAACTATGCAGCTCTGAGGACAAAAAAGCAGTGGAGATTTCTCCCACCCCAACCATTGTAAATAATAATTAAATTTGTCCTATTTGAAAACAGTTGTATCGCGGCATGTTGTTGTAATTGTGAGACCTCCTTCTGCAAAATATGATTGCCAACGTAATTGACTACTTTTTCTGGAATGTTCCTATGGACCTTGCTGCACTCTGCCAACACATACACGCATGCACACACACATAAGCATATGCACATACACCTCCATACACACCCCACACACACATACACTCATGCACATGCATACATACACACACACACACACACACACACACACACACACAGTTCTGTGGAGCTCAGTTGAACAATCACTACATTGTCAGATCCCAATGTCAGAGTAAATGATGAGGTTCACTACATGGGTGTCTGTTGTATAACTGGCACTTTCTGCACCGATTGTAACGAGGTCAGCCAGGTGGATCTCATAGAACATGAGTTCCCTGATTGGGGCTGTTAACCTGGTCCAATCAGGGAGTCCTGGCTGACAAATATAAACAGGAGTGTCTGGAGTTCTGCTCACTCTAGGAGCTGACTCTGAGCTAGCTGGGTCAGTGTCTTGTACTATACACATGTAAATAAAGGGTGACTTAGTGACGGAACACCGGCCTTAGTGGAGTTATTTCACTTTCCAGTTTGCTAAATCAACGTGCTAAATCTAGTCTGAAAATCATCACCACTGATGGGCTCAACTCAAACCAATCCTAATTTTAGACTGAGGTTCAGTGGAAACGTACTATAAGTGAGACCCTGAGGAGTCTACTGTCGAATGATCAGAAGGAGATTTGCAAATCCCACCCAGAGAAAAGGGGCAAAACAAATAAGTTTTATGAAAGGAGACGCATTGATGAGCCTAATGGTCTCACTTCATTCTCTGCTCATCAGGTTCTTAGAGTTAATGTGTGATTCGCTCCATAGATACAAATTGCATCTGGGAACATAAGGAGTGACAATGCAGAGTGTCGGGCACTCTGAGTTTCATCAGGACTCCCCCATTCTCCTCCTGGACTCCCGTATGGAGACAGAGAGATGACAACTGTGAGACATTTTTGTTGCTAGTACAGAAACTCCAGCCTGTCTGACCTGAAGCTTATAATTCCTGCTGGGATAATGAAGATGGTGCACTCTTCCAGGTTGTAGATTTTCCCAATCCTTATTGAGTGACTTAGTGACTGTTAACTAATCCCAATATCCCAGCAGGGAGGTTAATGACAGCTGGGCTATTTTTAGGCAGAGTGATGTCTGCTTTGTCACTGCATCCACAATAAATCACATTTTCAGCTGTGGCAGAGTATTGTGAAGACGCTGCAGTTGTGTCCAGTGTGTACATCTTCAAAATACAGTAAAGTGTATCCAGTGTGAAAACCCCAACTCCTTATACTGAAGGACAGAAAATGAATGTTTAATTCAAACAGTAGCTGCAAATAAAAATAAATTTTTGGATTCAAGTGGAATAGTGTTTCTGTAGTTACTCACGAAATGTAGGACATTGACATGTGCTGTATTCCAAGTTCTACGGCCATGGGGCATGGAATGCATTGCCGGAGAGGGTAGTGGAGTCGGCCTCATTAGGGGCATTTAAGCGGCTATTAGATAGGCATATGGATGATAATATAAGGTAGGGGTGGAGGTTAGATAGACTTTAGGTTTAGGGTAAAAGTTTGGCACAACATCGTGGGCTGAAGGGCCTGTACTGTGCTGTACAGTTCTATGTTCTATGTTCTATGTTCTATGTGCTGAGGGACACACTAAAGCTTAAGGCAGCTGCTGCCAATTTGCAGTGGGGAAAGACCACCATCTAAGGTCTTCCTGCTGAAGTTTAATGAGGGTCTGTTCAGTTATCAGACCCTCCTGATTCCTCAAAAACATAAACATAGTCTTGTATATTGCCTGGGTTTTGTTTGCTGCATAGAATCAAATTTCAATGTCTGTTTTGTTTCTTCATATGCTTCTGTATAGAACCGAACTGCTTCAGTGAATATGTATGTATATAAAGATACTTTTAAAAATTAGGTATATTTTTGAAATGAAGAAAATGTTCCTTCACAGTAGGTTGCTAAGTCTGGGGCTTTCCAAGGAAGTTCAAGGGTGACCTTTGACAGGAAGGCAAGTAACTGTGCCAGTCGAAACTGGATTACTGTCCCACACTTCCTAGTAGATGGGCATCACCAACAATTATCTGGATGGTATTTGGATCAACACCTGACTGCACTGTATAAGAAACAATAAAGTAGGGGCCAAGTTAATTCACAAGAGGAGAACTCTTATTTCTCTGTTTTTCTAATTTATGGCTGGACTTTTTATTTATTTATTTTAATCTTTATTTCCCTAAGAATTTGTACTTAACAGTGTGTACCTTGGTACCTTGCTCCCTAAGATGGCGTTGTAAGTGGTGACTTATAAACTTTTCATTGTACTCATTGTGACAATAAAGCTAATTCTAAAAAGTTCCGATTATGTTACTCACATTGTTGGTTGTTTTGACTGACTGCAGGAGTAACTCCATGAGGGGCTGGTAGTAACTGGAAGGGAGAATGCTCTCATCTCGTAATCGCAGTTGCAGCCTCAATGACCCTAGATGTCCCCTGAAAGACAACATATTTGTTAGATTACACAGTACGACACAAGCTATTGTGTGCTTTGCATGGATAGGCGATGCTTTCAGCTTGTTACCACAGCAACAATACATGTTGAAGGGTTAAAGTAATTCATTTGACCTTGATCCCAGAGCTTCTGTTGGATCAGCAATTAACTTTTGTCAATTTTTTTTTGAGGATAATTGAACATGTAATATTCATATCATCTCCTGATGTATTTGCATACAACTAGCTTAAACCACAGTCCATTATGATTGGTTGTTCTTTTATGTTTTTCCTCAAAAATAAGCAATTTCAATTGAATTCAATTGAATATCAATGTGCATTTGCTTCATGGCTACAACAGTGTGCTTCTGGTTGTCCTTCTTTCCTCACCCTTTGCGATGAGTCGTTCATTATAATTCTGATTCTGACGAAAATTGCTTCACGAATCAATGATTCTGTGGCCGTGATATGGTCAAGTTTCCCTTCAAATCAAACAAGATGGTCTCTGAGAAGTATATACCCGAAAAGTTGGGGTGAAGTTGAGCCAGGGGAGGAGGCTGAGAGGGAGCATCGCTGCTGGATCCAGGCCTACCCGTGACCTTTCACTTTCATGGTATCCCGGCACCAGGAAACCCGGTCTACAGCTGTTAAATTTGAAAAGCTGCAAAGTTCTGCAGCATGCTGCCTAACGAAGAGAGTTAATTAATGACTGCACCCCAACTCATCCCAATTCTGATCCCATTAAAACACATCATTGGAGGCATGTAGAGAGAGTCACATTTCATATATTTTTACTATTTTATCCTCATCCCATTCCTCTTCCACCTGTCACGGGATGTTAAATTACCCCCAATACACTGAACAGTTGCTGGATAGTCTTGAGAACATAGAGGTAAACCAACTAATGATCTCATCTGTGTTTTGTTCACAGTTAGAAAAGCTCCATATTAATTGCTTATACCTGTGAAAGAGAAATTCTAATTACCAACACCTATAAGGTAGGAAAAGATAAACAGACAGTTAGAAGGAGAGTCACGTAAATAGTGGCTTTCCTTATTCCAATTCAATTTCCTTCTTAAAAGTCGTCGACCTTTCAAAGTAAACACACCACTTTGTCAAAGCTTTTGCAGTCCAGAATAATTCAAACATCAATGTACAGGGAAAATAACATCTATACCATAGGAATGTGAGTTTTATCACCAATATACAATTTTTCCTGGAAGTCCCACCTTAAAAGTCATATTTCACGACAGGCGCCACCTTTGCCTGTATAAAGCATCCACTTCATAGAATCCCCACAGTGTGGAAACAGGCCATTTGGCCCACAAGTCCACACCGACCCTCTGGATAGCATCCTACCCAGATCCATCTCCCTACCCAATCCTGTAACCTTGCATGACCCGTGGCTAATCCACTTAACTTACACATGGACACTACGGGCAATTTAGCATGGCCAATCCACCTAACCTGCACATCTTTGGACTGTTGGGGGAAACCGGAGCCCCTAGAGGAAGCCCACACAGACAGTCACCCCAGGGTGGAATTGCACCCAGATCCTTGGCACTGTGAGGCAGCAATGTTAACCACTGAGCCACCATGTCACCCCCACTGTAGATTTTAAAATCAAGTTAGTTATAATCAAGCTGGTGTACAAATTAGATTATCTTTTGTGGTGTAGAGAATACATGGGCGAACTCCTCCATCCAGACTACAATTCAGTAGCATTATACAAGACAGATAGCAACTGCCCAGCAGTTACTTTCCCTCGGTTATTGCTTCGTTTCTGCCTTCACCCCAACTCACCTTTTTCATGTTAAACACCATTTGGAAGAAGCACTGAGGGCAAGAGCATAGACTGTACTCTGTGTGTAGGGCTTCAATGCCCAGCACCAAAATGTCTCAGTTGGCACCGCTACGATCCAAACTGGCCGAATCCTGAAGAACATGTCTATCTGGATGATCAGTGGCAGGTGATGAGAAAACCAAGAGTGAACACACTATCCTCACTGGCACACAGTAACAACAGCATGAATCACATACAAAGTACATTGTAGCAACTTTTCAAGTCATCATCAACAGTACCTTCTGAACCCACAACCACAACCATCTAGAAGGACAAGGGCAAGAGAGATGCGGGAACACCATCTCCTGCAAGTTCCCCTCGAAGACACTTACTGGCCTGGCTTGGAACTGTCTTGCTTCACTGTAACTGGATCAAAATCCTCACACTCCCTTCCTAACAGCACTGTGGGTGTACCAGACTGCAGTGGATCAAGAGGCAGCTCATTACCACCTTCTCAAAAGTAATTCGAGTTGGGCCAGAAATGTCAGCCCAGCCTGCAATACTCACATCCCAGGAAGGAACAGAAGAAATGCTGTAAACACCTTGAGCTTGGCACTAATTGAACTCTCGGTATTCCAGTTCCTAAGCACGCTCAGTGTCAACCAATTTATCTTAGCTCAGTGAGTTGTCTGAAAGTGTCACGAGATTCTTAACACAGAATATGATTTTTTTCAGTTAATCCTCTTACACATAATCCTAACCCTCTATTGACTCCTAACTTCAATGCTTTTTTGCACTGATTATCTGTCACTCACCATCTGTCAATTCTACTCAAAACTAAAGTATTATCGAAGGATTCTGAAGTAAAGGGTAGCTGTTTGTCCCGTTGATCCATCTTCCCTATGCTTGCTGAACAACACTGGCCTCCAGTCTGGCAATGTCTCAATTTTAAAATTGCTTTGAAATCCCACACCCCAAATTATCTCTGTATTCTCTTCCAGCCCAATAACCCTCTGAAATATTTGTGCACCTTCAATTCAAACCTCTTGTGTATTGCTGATTTTAATCACTACCTCAAAGGCAGGCAGATTTTCAACTGCCTAAACTTAGTGAAATAACTCCACAGAGGCTGGTATCCCACCACCAAGTTACCCTTTATTTACATGTGGAAAGTCCTTGACATTGATCCAGCTCCCTCAGAGCCACCTCTCAGAGTGAGCAGGACTACTGACCCTCCTATTTATATCTGTCAGCTAGGGCTCCCTGATTGGACCAGATTAACAGCCCCAGCCAGGGAACTCATATTCTACAAGGCTGACCTTATTATAATCACTACATTCCTCCTCCTCTGAGTCCAAGGACATAGGCTGGTTCTTTTTTTTTTGTAGCTTCTCCTCAGACGTTTTAGCACCGGGTCAGGTTCCCCTGACACTGCCTCTGATACGGACAGCGTGTAATACACAGTAGCTCGCCTCTTGTGCCTGGAGCGTATCAGAAAACATCATTCTTTTCTTCAGGCGGCAAAGGCATCGGGGTGGGAACATCTACCGTGTCCATCTCAGATTCCGAAGCATCTTCAATGCTTGATGGAGAGGGAGAACTATCGGGTTCCGGAACAGACAGAAAGGCAATTGAGGACCAGGGCGCATTTAGCTACCAAACTGTTTGCAATTTTGCAGCTTTCATATGTTCTATGTGCTTGTTCAGGACTGTCGCACCTATCTAAACTTTATATGTCACTGGACCTGACCTCGCATCAACCATTTGTCTTAGCCATGCGGGGCCAGTCCTGCAGTTCCTACACCAAACTTTGTCTCCTGAACTAAACTATTTCTCTTGCTCAGCAGACTCTTGTGTCCAGCAATGGTGTTCCTGATGCCGTTGCACCCTCCCCCAGGTCTTGGAAGATCAGATTTAAGGATATGAAGTCTTCTCCACATTAGCAACTCTGCTGGAGCTATCCCTGTAGTTTCAAAAGGGGTGGCCCTATAAGCAAATAGGAACTGGGACAGTTTGGTATCTGGTGAAGCTGTAGGCTGTTTCTTTAAGCCTGCCTTCAAAGTTTGGATTGGTCTTTCTGTCAGACCATTGGATGATGGATGATATGGAAATGTCCTTATATGATGGATACCATTCAACTTTAGGAAATACACAAATTCCCTGCTGGTAAATGATGCCCGTTATCTGTGACCAAGACTTCTGGGAATCCATGTATTGCAGTTTTTCCATCGTTGTCCCCATGTTTAACGAATGAACTCTATGCACGTCCAGCCATTTTAAGTGAGTGTCCACAATGACTAAGAACTTTAAGCCCATGAAAGGACCTGCATAGTTGATGTGTGACTGAAGCCAGGGTTTACCCGGATATTCCCATGAATGTAGGGGAGCTGCTGGCAGTAATTTCTGTCCTTGTGGGCACTCTGGGCACTGCCCCGTCAATGCAGCTATGTCTGCATCCAATCCTGGCCACCAGACATAACTTCTTGCCAACATCTTCATTTTAGAAACCCCGGGTTACCCTGGTGGACTTCAGTCAGTATCTGGCGGTGACCTTTGCTCAGGACAATCACTCTTGCTCCCCATAATAATATGCCGTCCCCTACTGTGATCTGGTCTCTCTGGGTCTAAAAAGGTTTCAATTCTGGTTGTGACAGCCCTTTGGTTTCCCCCATCCACACCAACTGTTTCAGGACCAGATCTTTCTGTGTCCAAAGTCTGATATTGTCAGCTGTGACTAGAAGAGTGTCGAGAGAATTTTAAACCATTATGGACTCTTCCAGTGGCGGTAGAACCGGTGACGTACCTGCCAGAAGGAGGCAGCTCAATGCATCTGCATTTGCTACTCAGACTCCTGGACAGTGTTCCAACTTATAATTATACACAGTTAGTATTAGAGCTCACTGCTGAATTCAGCCTGAAGCTATGAGTGCCACTGCCTTATCCTCTTTAAGTAGACCTGGCAGGATTTGTTAGTACCAGTATAGCTAGAACATTGGCATGTGCCTCGCAATGTGGAAAATTGCTCAAACACATCCTGTGTGTATAGTGCAGGTCCAAAAACATCGAACAAGCTCAACGCCATTCAGAACCAAGCTGTCTATTTATGGGCAACTCATTCACCATCTTAAACATTTATTCCTCCATCATGGCAAATAGTAGAAGCAGTGTGCACCAGCTACACAATGCATCGCAGCAATTCACCAAGGTTCCTTTAGAGGTA